AACGCATTTTAATTGTTTATATTGCATGTTTTTTAATTTTGGCTCACCGCCCCGAGTCCTTCGGGAGAGGGGGTGGTATAAAAATCTAATAAATAAATAAATAAATAAATAAATAAATAAATAAATAAATAAATAAAATCCCAGCTGATTGGGAGAAAATGGGGATTTTGCAGTATCCTTCCCCTGGAGTGTGGTAGGAATGGAGATTTTACAGTATCCTTCCCCTGCCATGCCCACCAAGCCACACCCATCAAGCCATGCCATGCCACACCAACCAAGCCACAACCACAGAACCGGTAGTAAAAAAATTTGAAACCCACCACTGATCCCATCCCATCCCATCCCATCCTATTCATTCTTTTTTTTTTTTATTGAAAAAGTTTTCAAATACAAATTTCCCCCCCTTTTTTTCCCCCTCTCCCTCCCCCTCCCTAACCCCCCTCCCCACCCATCCCCCCCTGTGACTTCTTCATAACAAAAAAAACAAACAAACCCTAATTCATAACAGATTACTTACTCCCTCCTCTAGATATTGACCTTTACTTACTAAAAGTTTTATTAATATTATAACATCCCCCTTTATCCATACATTTCAGAAAAGAGAAAAGAAAGGGGAAAAAGAAAGACATTATACTATAACATTATAGAATAACTTCTCCACTTTAAAACTATACGATAAGTCCTACTTTAACATTTAATCTTCTATATATGTTACTATAACATTTCAAAGCGGCCTTCCCCATAAAATCTAGTTTAACATTTATTCCACTCTATCCATTTCCTCCACTCCCCTAAATATATCACTTAAAAATCCCTTTTCTTAGACTAATCAATCTACTAACTAGCTTATTCACCCACTATCATACAAAATTACCATACACAACATTTCTTAATATCTTTGATTCACTGCCCACAGTACTTAAAAATATATGTCTATATTTTCCATTATATCTAAATAAAAAAAAAGAAAAGACAATGACTTTAAATTTATAATCCATATAGTATCTTCTTTGAGGTCTTTCCACTGGATTGGTAGAACCAACATCCATGATCGGGTAACATAGCTTGCTAGTGCAACAGTTTATTCAGGATCTTCAATCATATCTGCCCCCATCAGTAGTAAATATCTTCTTATATGTATAAAAGTAAAAACAACCACCCGAGTGACATTATAATTATATTCCATATAGTAATAATTGTGGGTTTGATCAGGATTATTAATTCCCATCATCGTAGTGGGTAACAACCCGATCTTCTGCATGCCCCAGCATCATTCTCTTGCCTTGTAATTCAAGATAATATAATATGTTTATCAACACAAAAAGAAATTCCAAAATGGATAATTCAAATCCATCAGTTTAAGGCTCGTTCACGTCCCCAAATTACGGCCATGCAGAGATCTGCCACAATCCTCAGGATGATATTAACCAATACGTCGCCTCTTCTGTGTTTACACATAATCATTCATATTTTAAAGTCACTGGCTTCACTGTTGCCTAATTTAAAAATTTCTATTTTTATGCCACCTATTTCTCTTTTTCTTTTCTTTTTGTGAGTTTGGTCTCCATCCTGGTTTCCTTTCTACAAATTGTGTATCATCTGGTCGGTTTTTATTCTGCTTTGTAGATTGGTCTTGGTTTTGTTTTTGTATTTCATGTTTCTTTTTTATCCCTCGTATATCCCCTAGTTGGTTTCCATGCTTATCCTTGCCTTGATAAGTCATCACGTTAAAATTAGATGCCACTTCTCTCAAATTTGTAGATAGTCCAGCTGGGGTATCCAATAAATCCAAAAGCAATTCATCTGGTACAGTCTCTATAATTCGATATTTTACCTTTATTTCCGGCTCCTTCTGCTTATCCTGTATTATACCTGAAGATGTTAAGTTCATTTTCAACCTATTTTGATAAAATTCTTCCGCTCTTTCAACAGTATTTAGCTGATATCTTTCTCCTTGATATCTAAATATAATACCAACTGGGGCGTCCCACCTGAATGAAATATTTCTCTTTTTTAACTCATTCACCAGAAAACCAAATTTCTTCCTTTCCATCAATATCTTAGGTGGGAGTTCCTTGTAAATCCAAATCTTTCTTCCATACAATTGCAAATTAGAATTGAAGGAATTTTGCACGATATTATTCCTAATTTCCTTATCTGTAAAATAAATCACCACGTCTCTAGGCAATTGCCTTTGCTTAGCAATCCAGGAGTTGATTCGATAAACTCTGTCAATCCTACAAAACACTTCGTCAGGTTGAACCTTTAGAATCCCAGCTAGAAATTCAGAAGATATTTTCCTTAAATCATCTCTATTATTTTCCTGCAAACCTCTTAATCTTATCACATATTCTGTGAAATTATATTGTACCATTAAAATCTCTTTTTCAATCTTCTGTTGCAGATTTTCTGCATTGCCATACTTTTGATCAGCATCCATTTTAGGTTTTTCTTCTAAGCTATTATCCTGAGTGTTTGTCAAATCATTTTCAATTTTTTGAATTCTATTGTCCAATTTATCTTGAATTTCTTCCATTTTAGACTCTAGTACATTAGTATTTGTGTCCAACTGTATCATAAATTCTGTAAAACCATTAACCACTTTTGAGAATTTTTTGTCCAAAGAATCAAACTTAGATTTCACCAATTCTTTAATTTCTTTAATTTCCTGCTTAAATTTTTCAAGTTGCTGATTCACAATCTCCTCCCTTCTTTCAATCTCCTCTATAAAAAATTCTGTTATATTAAAATCAGGTTTCTGAGACTGAAGAGTTAAGACTTGTTCCTTTAAATTATTGGTGGGGGAATCCCCCCCCCTTCTTGTTTATCTGACTTTATGAGTCTCAGTGCCATGTTTCCGCCCAGGCAGGCTTTGTTAAAAAAAAAAGCAAGAAAGACTTCTTTCCAATCAACAACAATATCAGATCTCCAAGGGAAAAAAAAGAGAAAAAGACACAGGAGCGAAGTTTTGTCTACAAATGTAGCCAGTGGTATTTATTCCGCTACATTGTAGTAATAGAAAATGGAAGGACTTTCCCTTTCAGCCTCACCTCCAGCCGACGCCATTTTAAAAACCTTTTTTTTCCTCTTTCTCTTCCTCCTCTCTCTTAAGTAATTTTTTTAAAAAAAATCAGTAAAATACTTGCGGTTCAGTATTACAGGTCCAGCTCACATTTCTTTGAGTAGTCTGTTAAATTTGCAGGCTTGCTTTTGACGCCTGGCTCTGCATCAGCAGAGGTCTCCCAAAGCCCGGAGCAGTGGCTGGGGATACGGGGCATCTCATCCGCTCCGTCCCAAAAGTAAAGAAAAAACTTTTGGGACTCCGCAGAGAGTTCTACCCACCCCTGCCGGCTCTATCTCCGTTTCCTCATGGAAACGGAGTTTTTTCGAGCCGCCATTCCGTTGTGAAGGCGGCTCTGACAGGCGATGGAAGCTGACGATCCCAAAGGAACGTCTGGCAGCGACAAACAGCAAACCGGAAGTCCCATCCTATTCATTCTTACACTACATTACACCACATTCTCTACCCCATTACACTCCACTCCATTTCAGCTGGTGTAATGCAGTTATTTGTGGGCTTTCATGGAATGCTTTTTCACCACAGGTTGATTCTTCACTTTTTTTTAAAATGCATTGTTATTTATTTTATATAGTCATTGGTATTTTCATGATTGATTCTTGTACATCATCAATATTTTTTTCTGGAGACCCATAGGAAGACGTATGAAACATCACAATGAGACTGGTAGGAGTATGAATTTAATAAATCTATCAATTATAACTCTGGTTCAACTAAGAGTGCCTTTTATTTATTTCATTCATGAGTTCAGGATGAGATTGAAGAAAATATCCTATGGGTGCAATATAAACAAAAAAAGGACACAAGTATGCATCATACAAACATTGAAGCGGGGAAAGATACAAATTCCAAGTTCCCGCAATCCATTAGATTGTCTTTTCACCCAAGCACTAATGGTGCTGTGGAAAGGTCTAATGCGATGATAGAGCGGTATCTACGGTGCTATGTGTCTTATCAGCAAACAGACTGGTCTAGCTTAATACCGTTTGCTGAAGTAGCGTACAATAATGCCATGCAACGTAGTACTGGGCTCAGCCCTTTCTGCATAGTGACAGGACAAGAATTCCCAGCTATCCCAGAATTGGAACAGCGAGTGGCAGGAGACGAAACGGAGGGTGATCCAGCCAGTTGAGCCAATAAGATATGGGAAATGTGGCTGTAGGTCAAACAGGCACTAAGTACTGCTGCAGAGGAGTACTAGAGGGCTAGAGGGCAGGAAATGGACCACAAAATCTGTCTTCTTTAAAGCCAGAAAGAAAGTTTGCAGATGTGGGAAAGGGAGGGTGAGGATGAGGGGGGAAAAAACAATTGTTGTGCCTCTCATTCAAGGGTTGCAAAACTATCTATTCAAAATGACTTATGACCATTGAACCTCCGGTTCTACCCAGGTATTCAAGTGTTTCAAAGCTCTTATCTACTCAAACAGACTTATGACCATGAAACATGCTATTCTACACAGTCATCATACTTGATTGATTCTCTTAAAAGGAGACCATTATGCAAATTGGATACTAGCATGTATTGGACTTCTGAGGGAATTTATTTGAATTTCCTAGAATTATTTTTTGTGCCAGAGATTTCTTTGATCTTTGCTATTGAGAAGAAGACATATGGCCAGCTTTTTAATTTACCCCATGTTTCGTACGTGACGACTACAAGTGATGTGCATCGGGGAATTCCCTCTGTCCGATTGCTTCAGAAAAAAAAAATACAAATGAGAGTTTGTTTAAACAAACTCTCATTTGTATTTAACTGCACTTCTTCTTACACATTGTATTACATATGAATTAAGATGACCAGTAAAGACAAATTTACAATTCACATTTAATCGATATATTTAGTCAGAGCTCACCATAACATACTACAATATGTCAATAAATCAATAAAGTCAATAAATATGTCAATACATTAATTGGTCCTGTAGTTTATAACTTTATAGACCCCACTTATAATTGCCTACCAGAAGGGGAAAAACACCCCTTCAAAGCTATCCAAATCTCCAGGAGACGGGGCAACACAGAACATCACTGTCTCTATACATTGTTCTCTGGCTTAAATGTTGAAGTGGGGAAGTTCCCAAACATGTACATATAAAGAATATCAGGCAAACATAAAGATTTATTAAAGCTTTCTCTTCATGAGCTGGTGCTTATCATTAAGCTCAGGTCTCATCACAATGATAAAACACTTGGGAAAAAAGATGCACACCAATAAGCCAGCACTGGAGGAGACCATGGAGAAGATCTCCACAGCCAATGTATATTTTCCCCTTGTGCTTAGATAGGTTGGAATAAAACACAACCAAACACTGCAGAAGACCAGCATGCTGAAGGTGATGAATTTGGCTTCATTGAAACTGTCAGGTAAATTCCTAGCTAGAAAAGCAGCAGAGAAGCTAAGCAGAGCAAGAAAACCCATAAAGCCCAAAACACAGTAGAACATGACCGAGTCTTCATGGCACTCCAGGATAAGTTCTTCAGGTATTGAATGTGCATCAAAATCTGGATATGGTGGGGATGTTATCAGCCACACAGCACAAACACATATTTGAATAAGGGAGCAGGATAGAAGAATGAAACTGACCATCCTTCCCCCAACCCATTTCCTCAATCTGGAACCAGGTTTGGTGGCCATGAATGCTAGAACCACAACAAAGGTTTTGGCCAAGACACAAGAAACCGCCACAGAAAAGATGAGCCCAAAAGCTGGTTGTCGAAAGAGACACACAATCGTATTGGGCCTCCCAACAAATAGAAAGACACAAAGGAAAGAGAGGAGAAGAGAAACTAGGAGTGTATAAGTGAGATTCCGGTTGTTGGCTTTGACGATGGGAGTGTCTTTATGTTTCATGAAGATTGTTATTACCAAAGCTGTCATTAAAGAAAAGCAAAGAGAAAGAACAGTCAGACTGATCCCCAAGGGTTCTTCATAGGACAAAAAGGTGATCCGCTTTGGAATGCACATATTTTTCCTGGGATTTGGGTATTGATCTTCTGGACATGGAGAACAGTCATCTATGTCTGAAAAAGAATACAGTGGAATTGATACAGTTGATTGCAGACAGTGTGGTACCCCAATGTCTTAGTCCCATTATATTTCGAAATTTCCTACCCTTCTCCTTTGATATTTTCCCCTCTGGACATAGACGACAATCATAGCAACAAGAGAACTTTCCTTCTTTCTTGGCCTTGCTGTGTCCTGTCTCACAAGGATTGTTACACAAAGATAAAGGTAATGCCTATCAACGAATGAAGAAGAATATTTTAAGATACAGAGAGGAAAGGAAGTGCTTTGAGTGTTTCTGTGGTATCAACAGATTGAAAATGAGTAGCGGGATGACATAACTTTAGATGTAATTGCTCTGAAATTATAATTAATTAAATCTCTACAATAATTGTATTGATAGCCTTCGTTAACCAATTGTCACTCTTCAAAGACAATTTCTCTGCTAGTTAGGTAAAGATGTTGGTTTTTTCAACTTCTGAATTTTGATGTCAGCAAACTAAAGAGATTTAGGGTGCTGGCTAGCAGCTTTTACTTCAGAACCATGAAAACCATTGCCCATAATTAACAGGGAGCCAGTAAAGTATATTTCCTAATATTCAATAGCAATTGCTAGAAAAGTTAAAAAAGTATCTTACTGATATCTTTCCTTTCCCAGGAAATTTGTACCTAGGTTAGTTAGGGATGACACTGTGACACTTTCATCAATAAAGATATTTAAATGAAGGCAAACAAATCTGGATTCAAAAAGCTAACCTGGTTAAAGCCTACTGGCCATGTGATGGAATCTACAGAAATAGTGAAGAACTTCTCTGCTAGAGCTGTGGGATCTATCACTCCAACTTTGACCCTAAGAAAGGATTGGTTTGGGAATGTGATCCAGTTGATAATATCAAATCCACCAATGAATTCTCCATTTGTATCAAAGGAGATCTTTTCACCAACACAGTTGTTGAATCTGACACTTCTCAGAAAAGAATGAACCTGAAACGCAGAGGCAATCAGAGAGGAACAAACTGAGGGAGGGAGAAATAATTCATATATTCAAAACATACATATGAATGTTTCTTTAAACAAAGACAATATAAACACATTTTTTATTTTTGTTGTAGGCCAGTATCAAATAAATAACATAGCAATCATTCTAAAATAGCGGTAGAGATTACATATCAGATTCCTGAAACAAAATTAATATAGAATTGTAAAATAAACAACTATGAAAAAAATAAAATTAAGCTCTGTAGTTTAATTGTAAAAGATACTTAAGCCAGATCACTACTAACAAATATGTAATAAATCCTAGGATATATAAAACTACAATATAATTGCACTCATTTCACACACTAGCAAGGTTGTACTCAAAATCCTACAAGCCTTCAGCAGTATGTGAACCGAGAAGGAAGAAGTACACATGATTTTTTGGAAAGGCAGAGGAAGTAGCGATAATTTTTCCTGCATTTGCTGGATTATGAGAAAGCAAAGTACTGTACTTCTGCTTCATTGATTTTGCTAAAGACTTTGATTATATGGATCACAACAATCTATGGCAAGTTCTTGAAGAGTTGGGAGTACCAGACCACCATAACTGTCACCTGAAAAGGTTAATGTCAGCTCTGCCTGATTGAGCTTTGCACTTCACAGGCTCCCTGCCGTCAAAGGCTGGAAGAGATGGGGAGGATGAAAGAGCAATGAAGCTGTGTTTGTAGGTGTTGGGAAATTGGGAGGGGGAAATGACAGGTGATAAAGACCAGAGTAGCCAAATCTTGTTTGTACCAGCATCCCAAGGACAAGCACTCTGAGAAATATGTGAGTTATCTGCAAACATTTCAGCATTCTCAAAACATCTTGGTGAGCTGTGGTTGGCTGGAAATGGACTGGTCATAGAGGTGGGGGAAGAATGAGATGTGGGTTATGTGGGTTTTTATAACTTACAAGCACGGGAAATTCAGAGCTGGCTTCACATTACTGCAAACAACGCCTTTAGTAAAAGAACCCTTTGCTTTAACCAAATGGAGTCAAGGGTCTTTCTTTTCTAAGGAATCAGATTGGGGTAGGTCTGGCACCTGCATGCCAGCCAAGAAGCAACACTTAGAACCAGACATGGAACAATTGATTGCTTCTAAATAGGGTAAGTACAACAAGGCTATATATTATCACCTTGCTTATTTAAATTATATTCTAAGTACATCTTGTGAAATGCCAGGCTGCAATCACAAACCAGAACTAGGATTGCTGGTAGAAATATCAACAAGCTCAGATATGCAGATGATACCACTAATGGCAGAAAGTGAAAAGGAACTAAAGAGCCTCTTGATGAGGTAAAAGAGTAGAGTGCAAAACATGGCTTGAAACGCAATATTAAAAAGCTGAGAATATGGCATCTGGTCCCATCACTTCATAGCCAATAGAAGTGGAATAAATGAAAACAGTAACAGATTTTATTTTCATAGGCTCCAAGATCACTGCAGATCCCCCTTTTTAAAACGAAATAATCCTCTTCAAATTTTTTAATTTCTTATTTTCAATTTTTAAATTATTTGTTCAAATTTTAACCTTTTTTCAACTCTTAAATATCATTTTTAATTTAATTTTTTAAAAATTTTTACAACTTTTTCTATTTCTTTTTTCAACAAAACATTTGAAAAAAAATATAGTTTACTTACTTTAATTCTAAGAGGGAAAACCACAGAAAAAAGAGACAGACACTTAAGACAGGAAAGATAGTAATGAATTTTTCAAGAGAACAAATGGTCAAGAACTCTTATAAACTATTAGCAATGGGGAATGTATTTAAATTTTTAGAAATGTTTAATTTTTTAGCAAACAAACAAAGAAAAAAAGTGATGGAAATGGACACTGACAGTATAATTACTTGCAATGTTTGCCATATGTTTCAGCTTATGTCCACATAGCTCAGATACTTTGGCACATGTTGGACTCATTGGACAACACTTTGAGGTTATTTAAGATTGAAGGCAAAAGGAGAAGTGGATAACAAAGGATGAGATGGTTAGGTAGTGTCATCAGCACAATGAACATTAATACGGGCAAATTGTAGAAGATACTGGAGGATAGGAGGGCCTGGGGTGCTATGGTTCATGGGGTTGCAAGGATTCAGAGAGGAGTTAGTGACATACCAACAACAATAACGGAGATAGCACAGCAACCCATAAGTACAGGTGTTGATTGTTTAATGACTGCTTGTTCCGCAACCATCTGAAATTATAAGAAATTGTAAGTGCAGACCAAGTGATACTTAGGATTTCCTTACTGTGCTTGTATGATCACAATCCAGGAAGTCAGGAATGGGCCTTTATTTCTGACTGTCATGGCATTCCACAGTTACTTGATTGTGATTTCTTGTCTATCTTGCTAGCTTTCCACAAGCAAAGTCAATGGGGAAGCTAGAAGGAAATTGGATGTTGTCCTCACATGAATTCCATGCTTTAAAAACTATGCAATCCTCACTTAACAATGGTAACTGGGGTCTGCCAAAATTATTGTTGCTAAACCGCATGGTCAAGTGATGTCACAACTTATACCTGCATCACTTAGCAATGGAAACTCAGGTCCCAATGACCGTCATTAAGTAAAGGCTGCCAGTAAAATTTACAATATAATCAAAGATAGACTTATTTTTATGAAGTAAAATCTAAAATTAATGACCTACCCCAAAAATACGACCTAGCATGTTTTTTCATGCTGCTCACAATATAAGCCCTACCCCTCCAAAATAAGTCCTAGTTCAGATAATCAGCAGCGGTAGTTGGGCGGTGGGGGTAGCCAGCATAGGAGGTGGCAAGGATGCACATGGGGAAGACGATGTCCAGAAGCAGGTTCAGACTTTATGGCGCCAGGGAGAAAGGAATGTAATACATTCCACCATCTGTCTTTCCTTGCAGAGTGTGTGGCAAAGCTGGAGGACCCCATTTGTCAGTTGGAACTGAAAAGGCAGGGGCTGTACCATGGCATCACCTCACCCCACCATTTGCTGGCTGTGAGAGGCGGTACAGTCAGCATGGCTCAACTGGCAACAGGGGGGTGGTCTGGAGCTCATAGATCTGGGACGACTCGGGTAGCCGAGAGTAGCACTACCAGTGGGGCTAAGAGCCCCCATGAGGTCAGCAGCAGCACAGGCCACTTTTTGGAGGCCAGCGGTTGAGAAGTGTCCTTGTAGCAGCAGGGCAGCAAGCATTGGGACAGAGAGGATGGGGCTGGTGGACTTTCTATTCCCTGTACCTGAAAAAAATAAGAGACACCTGAAAATAAGACCAAGTTCTTATTTCTGGGCCTAAAAGAAAATAAGACCAGGGCCTATTTTTCAGGGAAACATGGTCTCGGCTTGTCGTTCGTTCAGAACTGCGATAGGAAATAATCACCAGTAACACACAGAGAATCAGGGTTTACTTTGGCAATGATAAGCTTGCAGTCAAAAGTAAAGTACAAGTCGGTGTTTTGGTTCAAAGTCAGCGCTGGGTGTAATCACACCACAGCGCTATTTAACAAAAACTCAGCCCCTTAAACATACATCCGGTGATTATCAATCAAGCACCCCCCACTCCCTTAACAGTAACAGCTGCGAGCAGCGAGGACAGCAGAATCGGAGAGGCCCAGCAACGTCATCAATCATTGCCCTGAATGCTGCTATCCAGGAACTGTTTGTGTGTTCTCTGCGGCTGCTTATCTCCACTCCTTCGTCTCCCACACACCCCATTGATGGCGAGCTCCGGCAGGACTCGACAGGCGGCCCCCCCTACCAGGAGCTCACCTATAAATAGACAGCATACAGATGTTAGTCACTGTTACGATCCTGCATTAGGTTTGGCTGGGTATTTCCGATGGAACCGTTGTATCAATCGGGCAGCGTGAACATCGGGTGCTGCCACCCACGAGGCCTGTGTTACAGGGTATCCTTTCCACCGCACAAGATATTGTAACATCCCCCTACGAACCCTGGAGTCCAATATTCGGTCTATCTCATATTGGTTGGTATGCACGGGACCTGGTGGAGTAGTTGAGGTACCTGGCCTTTCTATCGTCACCGGTTTCACCAAACTGCTATGGAATACGGGATGTATCCTACTGAACAGAGGGGGAAGTTTAAGAGCTACGGTTACAGGATTGATGACTTGTGTTATGGGAAATGGTCCTATATATTTAGGTCCTAATTTTTTACTGGGCAGTCGGAGTTTAAGGTATTTCGTAGATAAGTATACTTTGTCTCCTATCCGGAATGGTTTTGGATCAGCTCTTTTCTTGTCTGCATATTTTTTATACTCGTCTGCTGCCTTTTGTAATGCTGTTTTTACACTTGGCCATACATTACTAATTTTATCGGCCCAACTGCGTGGCGTGTCACCGTCTGTCATAGGGGGATCTAACTCTGGAATGGCTGAAAACTCTCGGCCATATATTACTTGGAAAGGGCTATTTCAGCAAATCTGGGAATGAACTGCCGATAGAAGTTTGCAAAGCCTAGAAAGCTCTGTAATTGCTTTCTGGTTCTAGGGGCCTGCCATTCAAGCACTGCCTGGACTTTTCTGGGATCCATCTCTACCCCGCTCTCTGATATTCTATAGCCTAGATAATCTATCCTCTTTTTGTGAAACTCACATTTGGATAGTTTCACGTACAGCTTAGCAGCTAATAATTTGTCTAAGACCTGTCGGACCAGAGATATATGTTCCTCTTCAGTTTGCGTGTAAATTAAGATGTCATCCAAATATACAAGGACACCCCTGTACAGATGTTCATGCAGCACTTCATTGATGAACTGCATGAACACCGCAGGGGCACCCTGTAGTCCGAACGGCATGACCTGGAACTGATAGCTTCCCAAGGGACAATTGAATGTTGTTTTCCACTCATCCCCTGGTTTGATTCGTATCCTGTAATACGCTTCGCGTAGGTCGAGCTTCGTAAAGATACGACCGGTGGCTAGGGCAGCTAACAGGTCCTTCATTAAGGGAAGTGGATAGAGGGGCTCCACACACACTGCATTGAGACCTCTGAAGTCAACGCATAAGCGTAAACCCCCGTCTTTCTTCCCACGAAACAGGACAGGGGCAGCCATCTTTGATCGACTAGGTGTGATAAAACCCCGGGCCAAGTTCTTGTCTATATATTTCCGTAATTCTTTTAGTTCGGGTTGTGTCATTGAATACATCCGGGGCTTGGGTAGCTTCGCCCCGGGTATTAACTCAATACTGCAATCCGTAGGCCGGTGAGGGGGCAGGGTTTCACATTCCTCCTCACTAAAGACTCTGGCGAGATCCCTATACGCATCAGGATATGTCGTGTCTACTGGTGGGCTCTCTGCTTCTATTCCCCCTGCTGGCTCCTTTTCCTCCTTGGTAGGGGGAGGTCCCAACGGTAATCGAAGTTTGCGAAAACCCCCTTCCCACCATATCGTAGGAGCCCACTTGTCCAACCATGCTAATCCTAAAATCACTGGTTCTAACATTTTCTCCACTATAATAAACCGAATAGTTTCGGTGTGCTCCCCAATATCGAGGTGCACCTTTTCTGTTATATGAGTCACTGGTGCCCCTCCCAGCAATGAACCATCCATTTGTTCAAAGGTAATAGGGGTTCTCAACCGCACAACCCGCAGCCCAAGTTCGTCAACTATCGCCCTACGAATTAAACAACGAGTACACCCTGAGTCAATCAATGCCTCATATCGGCGTCCAGTGGTGGCCCGTGGGTTTCGGAGTACGACTGGTACCACAAAAGGTCGGATAGGGTCGCTCACCATCGGGTCATGTGGGTCCTCATCGTCGTCATCACTATCCCCAGCCACAATCGGGAACTTTTCCGCCACCACTTTCTTAGTATCTGTAGCCAGGGGATCCCTCTCCATACAGGATGTTTGAGTCATTTGGGACCGTTCGGATGTTGGTCGGCCTCTGCCTCTCAACACAGCTCTAGGAGGGGGGTTTTGGTCCAAGTTACGGGGCATGGGATGAGGACAGTCGGCTGCTCGATGACCAAGGCGATTACATCTGAAGCAACGAAACGCAGGCCGCTGGATCCTTTCCCCCAAGCCGGAGCCAGCATTCGGTTTAGTCTCCTTGGGTGTTTGTGTGCGTTCTGCTGGTCGTTTTCCTTGACTTGCAACCCCTTCACCCCGTATACGGAATTCTCGGAGACCGACGTCCAATTCGATGGCTGCCTTGTACCACACACTCAACTTGGGGGGCAAGCCCCGGTACACGCAGGCTTGCCGTAAATCACGGTCTAGTCCTTTATGGAATTGGTGCACCAGAAGACGTTCTGGCCACCCCACCAACCGAGCCGCAATCTTTCGGAACTCCTGTACATATTCCTTTGCTGGTACGCCCCGTTGCTTAAGCGCAAACAAATCCCCCTCTGCAACCTGGGCGCTTGTTTCGTCTTCAAATCTGGCACGAAGAGCCTCCAGAAATCGTCCCAGGTCCACGAGTTCCCTTGCATGTTTAGCATGGAGGCCTGCCACCCACTCAGCTGCTTCTCCCGTCAGGACCCCTGTAACAGCAACCACCATAGCCCACTGGGAGGGATACCACTGTCCATATTGGTCCATATGGCTTATCACCTGGCTTACGAAAATAGCCACTCGTTCAGGGTTTCCGTCAAAGGAAGTCTGCAGGGCAGGTGGTCCCCAAACGGCCTGCGGGACCCACAGCCCCGGCGGGGGCCCCGGAGGCCAAGGCATGGGGCCTGGGGTCCTCGCTGCTCCAGTCGCTCTCCTGTCCTGCCTAGGTTGGTCCCTCGTCGCCCCGCGACCCCCAACAGGTAAGCCCCCTGCCAATTGCGTTGGTTGGGGCTCAGGACCGGCTCCAAGGTCTCCCGACGAGGCACCTTGGTCTTGTTCTGGAGGGGGTTGGTCCATGGATCGTCTAGAGGTCCGCTCCATCCTCAATTTAGGACTTGTGAGCCGGAACTGGGTCTCCGAAGCGGTCACCCCTGTATCCTGCCAAGAAGAACCTGGAGGCTCCAGCCCTGCAACCCAGGGCTGCCAGGATGGGGCGTCACGAAATCCAGATTCCCCAAAACGCTCACGTAGCGTATCCATGGTGCTGGGACCGGATGAGGCAGGATACCCCCAATCCCCTTCATCCTCCTCAGTCCATCGTCTCTCCCTCCAGCCCTGGAAAGATGCTCCCAAGCGAGGGGGTGTTGGCATCCGTGGCCCGAGGAGAACAGAGCTGTGCCACCAATCCCCCGTCCGAGCCCGTTGTCCTGGAAAACTCTCCTCCTCCGGTCGGGGCGGGGCGCTCTTGGGTTGCTTGACTTTTGGTTTCACTGCCAACTGTTCCACACTCTCCTTCACCTCCTCTATCAGTGGTTCCTCCCCCTCCACATCTCCACCACACTCCTGCTCTTCCAAGGCCGTCCCTTCTGCCATATCCCCCTTTGCTGCAAAGCCACAGGGACTCCTCACCTCTTGCGAAAAAGAACCAAGCGCTGACTTTCTCTCGGCTTGTCGTTCGTTCAGAACTGCGATAGGAAATAATCACCAGTAACACACAGAGAATCAGGGTTTACTTTGGCAATGATAAGCTTGCAGTCAAAAGTAAAGTACAAGTCGGTGTTTTGGTTCAAAGTCAGCGCTGGGTGTAATCACACCACAGCGCTATTTAACAAAAACTCAGCCCCTTAAACATACATCCGGTGATTATCAATCAAGCACCCCCCACTCCCTTAACAGTAACAGCTGCGAGCAGCGAGGACAGCAGAATCGGAGAGGCCCAGCAACGTCATCAATCATTGCCCTGAATGCTGCTATCCAGGAACTGTTTGTGTGTTCTCTGCGGCTGCTTATCTCCACTCCTTCGTCTCCCACACACCCCATTGATGGCGAGCTCCGGCAGGACTCGACACATGGTCTATTCTACCTAGGAAATAAAGTCTTAGTAGAAGAAGTTAGGCAATGGAAATTGAGGACCAAAGGGCAATGACCGCTGGGTGAGATCATCCGTGGCTTTGGAGTGAAGTGTCAACTGTATGCCGATGACACACAGTTGTACATTTCAACCCCAGGCCACCCCAATGATGCCCTTGATGTGATGTCCCGCTGCCTGGAGGCCGTGGGGATCTGGATGGGGAGGAGCAGGCTCAGACTCAACCCCTCCAAGACTGAGTGGCTGTGCTCCCGATGGCCTGATATAGCCAGCTAATACCATCGCTGGCTATTGGGGATGAGATCTTACCCCCCTCAGAGAGGGCTCGCAACTTGGGTGTCCTCCTGGACTCATAGCTGTCTTTGGAAGATCATATGATGGCCGTGGCCAGGGGGGCTTTCTATCAGGTTCGCCTGATCTCCCAGTTGCGTCCCTTTCTGGATCGGGACGCCCTGCGCACAGTCACTCCCGCCCTCGTCACTTCCCAGCTGGACTATTGTAATGCTCTGTACATGGGGCTCCCCTTGAGGAGCACCTGGAGGCTCCAGTTGGTCCAGAATGCAGCCGCGCGAGTAGTAATGAGGGTGACTCATCTCTCCCATGTAACACCCTTCTTGTGCGAGCTGCACTGGCTCCCAGTGGTCTTCCGGGTGCCTTTCAAGGTGTTGGTTAACACCTTTAAAGCGCTCCATGGCTTAGGACCTGCCACCAATTGCCTCCCACTGACCAATACACTCCCAAAGAGAGGGCCTCCTCAGAGTTCCGTCGGCCAAACAATGTAGGCTGGCGACCCCCAGGGGGAGAGCCTTCTCTGTGGGGGCCCCGGCCCTATGAAACAACATATGAAGGATCCCCGACCTCCGCGCCTTCCGTCGTGCTCTAAAGATGCTACTATTCCAGCAAGCTGGTCTGACGGGATAAAGGATTTTAAATTGGGTTTTGATAGGGGTTTTTAAATGAATTTAGTTGGGTTTTTAAATTCGGCCAATGATTGAATTATTTTAATTAAGTTTTTAAAATTTTGTTGTATATTGGCTCATGGCTGTTCAACGCCCTGAGTCCTTCGGGAGAAGGGCAGTATATAAATATAATAAACTAACTAACTAACTAACTAATGACATTTCTTTTATTGGATGCATTAAAGTAGAACCAGAGTCAACATCAGCAGGGGCTGCTGGAATTTAAAATCCTGCATTAAGCGGATGCTGAATTTGATGACTGAAATGTCCATCATTTGAAATCTATGATTGTTTCATCCAATGGGAGTACACTATGCCGAGGTGGTGCAGTGGTTAGAGTGCAGTACTGCAGGCTACTTCAGCTATTTCAGCTGACTGCTAGCTGGAGTTCAGCAGTTCAAATCTCACCAGCTCAAGGTTGACTCAGCCTTCCCTCCTTCCAAGGTGGGTAAAATGAGAATCCAGATTGTTGGGAGCAATGATGTAAACTGCTTAGAGAGGGCTTTAAAAGCCCTTTATATAAGTCTAAGTGCTATTGCTATTGCTAAATGTCTCACATTAATATCTCACATAGGCTCAAATTAGCATCCCACCTTGGTCCTCTTTTATTTAGTGCCTGAGATATTAAAAACACTTTTACTCCTTTCCCTTCTTCTCGTAGAGCCGTGTTCCTAGAAGCATATAAGGCTGCTCTCATTCCATCCATTTGCTCTAAAACTATGCATGTGTTGTTATGAATAACTGGGTGTAGAAATGCAGGTGACTCTCAAATGGTCTATGAAGAGGTCAGAACCAATGCCTCATAAAATGGGAACATTACAGCTGGCTGAATCTTCTTTGAATAAGAATGACACAATATATCAGTCCTTGCTCTTCCACCCATGGATTGTATGGGAAGATCCTGATCAGGAAATACCAAAAAATATTGGCATGATTCAGTGGTGGGTTCCACTTACCTTCACTACCAGTTCACTTTCGTGAATGCGGATACACAGAACGTTCATGATGAAATCCGGGCGGTGGGCAGAGTCTCCCACCGCCACCACTACCGGTTCATGCAAACCTGGGCGAACCGGTAGGAACTACCACTGGCATGTTTGTACTTTCAAGAATCAATGAATTGTGTCTGCAAATGCAAACATTCCAAAAAACCATACATAACAACAACAACAACAATAACAACCAATACAGCTTCAACATTCAGTAATAACCTCCTTCCATTTATCCGTAGGCTGATTTTATAGAACAATAAGGAAGTGGCTTCCCAGGATGGAGGGGGAGCATTTCTGAGAGGTTAAATACATTTCAGATTGGATATTGTGTCTGTGAGAAAAAGAAGTAACATAGCTCCCCCCCCCAATAATTCGTAGAGTAAATTGCAGATACAGATAGTAGAGTGCTCAGATTGACAAAATTTTATCTATAGATGTAAAACAAGAAGAAATCAGCTTAGAAGAATTACTATCTGTCATTCTTGATTTGGGGCTTGACAGGAGGCTAATTTCATGGAGAGAAACATATTTTAAGAAATTTTGCCTTTGGATTCTTTAGATACCTCAGCTGGATTATCCACAAATAAAAGAGATGTGGCATTGGATTCCAATGTGATGATTCATCAAGTCACAGACAAACATGGAAATCAACCAGTTGATACACAACTTATAGAAAAGAAATATGAGTCACAAAAGCAAAACCAACAAGATCAAGCTATAAATCAGAATGAAAACCGATCAGTCTATATACAACTCGTAGAAAGGAAATTAGGATGGAGATCAAACCCACAACAAGTCAAGAGAAAAAGAAATAGATCTCGCAAAAATAAAAATTTCTAAATTAGGCAACAGAGAAGCCAGTTATTTAAAAGATGACTGAATACATGAAAAGATAGTTGAGGCGAAGTATTGGTCAATATTATCCTGAGGAGAGTGACAGACCTCTGCAGTGCTGTAATTTTGGGATGTGAGAAGGGCCTTAAATTGTTGGATTGGAATTATCCATTTTGGATTTTTTTTTTTCTTGATAAATATATCATGCTTATCCTGAGCTATATGGCAAGAGAGTTATGCTGGGGCATGCAGAAGATCTGGTTGTTACCCCATTATGATGGTGGGAATTAATAATCCTGAAGAAATCCATTACTACAGATATTATAAGGAATACAATTATAATGTCACTCGGGTAGTTGTTTTCCTTTTTTATATACATGAAGATATTTATTGTTGATGGGGGCAGATGATAACTGAGGATTTTTTGAACATTCTGTTGCAATCAGGATGCTATGTTACCCTAATATGGGCGATGGAGTTAACAATCCAGTGGAGAGACATCAAAGAAGATGATTATATTATATGGACTATAAGTTTAAAGTCATTGATTTTATCTATATAAGGGAATATTTTTTTTACTAGGGTGGGCAGAAGAATAAAGATATTAAGAATTGTTATGTATGGTAATTTTGTAGGAAAGTGGGTGGAGACAGGTTAGTTTATTGATTGTTTAGTTTAAGAAAAGGGATGTTTAAGAGATACATTTATGGGAGTGGAGGAAATGGATAGAGCTGAATAAATGTTAAATTAGGATTTATTATATAGCTTTTTAGGGGAAGGCTGCTTTGAAATGTTATATTAATATACATTAAAGACTAAATGTTAAAATAGGATTTATTATATAGTCTTAAAGTGGAAGATTGTTTTGAAATGTTATATTATGTTATATTATAAATGTCATATTAATATATAGATATATGTATGGGGGAGGAGAAAAAGGGCAGATTATTGCTAAATTGGGAGCTAAAATAATGTTATTATGCTAAACTAGAAGGTATTATACAATGTTACAGTAGAATGTTATTTTGAAATGTATGGTAAAAGGGGGATGTAATAATACTATTAGAAAGAAAGGGTCAGTATTTGAGGGATGGAGCAAGGGGATGGTAAAATATTATATAATCTGTTACGAAGTTGGATTTTATTTTGAAGAAGTCACAGGGGGACGGGTGGTGAGGGGGGGTTAGGGAGGAGGGGGGGAGAAAAAAAGGGGGAAAAATTTGTATTTGAAAAACTTTTTCAATAAAAAAAAAGAAATCATCTTAGAAGAATCACTATCTGTCATTCTTGATTTGGGGCTTGACAGGAGGCTAATTTCATGGAGAGAAACATATTTTAAGAAATTTTGTAGAATGCCATTTACAATTTGAATATCAGCCTATGAATATTTTGATTACTTAATCCATTATTAAATCTCACTTTTGGGTTTTCAGACATCAATATCCCTGGAGAATATTGTTTGCTAGAGTTTTTGGACACATGTTGCAAATACAGATATGGTGGTTTCTCACTACCCTGATAACACACTTACCTGCCACCACACTTGATTGTGAAAATGTTTCCTTCTTTCTTTCATCATTCCTGTTTCTTTAGATTTGGATAGAGAGAGAGATTGCAAAGCATGTGCCACAGCATAGACCGCATTGTAAATATTATAACTCTGGCCACTCATGCTTGTTTCAAACACAGATGTAGGAAGGGTTTCAAGCTTCTCCTGTCCAGTACATTTCTTCTCAGACTCCTCCATTTTTGAGTTTGGGAAGAAACAACTGAATGCCTGTTCCCAGAAATCTTTCCGAAAATGATCATTCTGATTGTTGCTTGGATTTAGATTTTGAAGAAATTCCTGGAAGTTTTGGATTTCCGTTGTGTGAATTGCAAAGGATACAGCACCATGCAGAGAATGGATATCCCAAGTTTTATGAATGGAAATTGAAGTATAATCTGTTTGAGCAGTTATAAGCCAAATCTTATTCTTCTTTGGTATATCATCCACTTCTGAAATCTGGAGGATAGTTCTCAGAACTGTTAAGGACTGAATTTCACCATATAAGATTATCACATTGGCTGTGCTGTTCATGAGAACATGGTATATATGTCGCACTTCATCTACGGTTTCATCAAAATCACTGTAAAAAGCTCCAGTTGGGAATTCTGCTATGAATTCAGTGCAGATGCCATGCTCAGAAAATGTGGGGAGTATTTCTTGGAGGAATTTCTCTCCTTTCTCATCCTTTACTACAAGAATTCCAATCCAGATCCATCTAAAATACAGCAATAACTGCAGGAGGCCCTTACGTTGGTGGGATTCATTTGGAAACATTTGTTGGAAGAAAACTGCTTGAGTCTCTTTATCTATGACTGGAGAAGAGCCATAGGTCAACTACAGAAAGATAAACATATGCAATTGAAAATTCTATTGCATGTGAGCCTCTGAAATCATATATATTCATTTCAGTTGGGTATCTTTCACCTTTCATACTGAAATTATGCAATTAGTTGTGTTTATTATGAAATATCAACCAAGATGTCACTCTTGAGAGTATCAGAAAATATTTTTCTTTTCTGAAAGTAGTCTCATTGTGAATATTTCAAATTTGAGCCTTAGTTCAATGTCTGGAACTGGGGCACATTTTGCTGTGTCAAATATCCCCACCATCTGTTCAGAGTGACAATGATTCATAGTGCTATGATGATTCTATCAAGCAGATAATAATATCGAGGAATCTGAAAGGTCTCTCTTTTTACAAAAAGAAGCATACCGAAGTTTGTGGAGATATGGCAAAATGATAATGTATATCCTCATCACATCTTACCTGAGAAACTTTGTAGATTCCCAATAAAGTTGCCATGTGAAGAGAGATGTCAGGTGCCCCAATGACTGCAGCCAAGGTATTTGTGATCCCACACTTGTAGTTAGGGATGAATTTGCCCTGAGTGAAAGGTAGAATCATTGAGGCAAAGAAAGTCCGGCTTGGACTAAAATTGCTGTTAAAAATGTGGAAGCCCAGCGTGATGTTGGGTAGGATCTGGGGATTTTCATTGATCTCTTTTACAGTAAACACTAAAGCCACGATATGCTGGTAATTCTGAAAAACTATTCTGTAAAACAGAATTAGAAACAGCACATTAAGAAAGATCTGTGTCTCATTATGACACTTACAATCCTTTTGTACAACATATTTTGTGGAATGTGTGAAATAATTCTTATTTCTATATGTGAGAATGGTTCACTATCAAACTGCTTATATTCAAAAGGAAATTGCTACATTTTGAAACCTGAAATAAAGAATGATGAAACATGTCATGGAAAATATATGGTTTCTCTTCCTTAACAGTAGTAACAGCTTCATATTCATATGGAATTAATTTGTATGGAATTAAGACATACATAGCTGTATATTAATAGTTATTGAGATGTGATTTGTTATAAATGGAGATTTGATCTACATTTCAACTATTTTAACTTTACCTAGAAAGTGAAGTAAAGCATAACATCAGATAAAATAAACGGAGGCATCCTATTTTAGATGTTTCTATCAGGAGTTTTTACCACCAGTGGAAATATTTCAAGAATGATATGATTTACCAGCAAAGTTCAGAGCTTGACAATAAATTAATCATATATTTACATAAGTCCATCATGAAATGCCTTCGAAGGATGTTGAATGAACTCAATGGGGTCAGAAAATATCAGGAATGCAGAAATAATGCCAGCAATGTTAACATCTCCAAGCTGATGATAGGTGTGCCGAATAGGAAGAGGCTCCCGAAAGTCACATTGAAGGATAGGATTATTCTTGCACAGCACTTTAGGCAGTACTATTAACAGTATCTCCACAAATAGTAACATCTTCAATGAGTGTCTTCTTTTTATGTAGAAATGCCTCTGTCTGCTACAAGATCTTTGAAATAGACCAAAGAGACTTGCCTCCTGGAGGTGTTCTTCAGAGAAAACTAGGGAGTGCAACATACTATCAAATCAACTCACAGAGCTTTGGGGGTCCCAGCCATGGGTTGGAATAGGATGGGGACAATAATTACCATTATTCAGTGTCAGTTGCTCCTATTTTCATGGAGTCCCATAGCATTTGGAAGAGGCAAACTGGCTAATTTCATAATGATAGTGAGGCAGTCACATATGTCTCATTCACAATTTCAAGACATGTGAGGACTTGCAGAGGCAGGAACGCAAGAGCCACAAGACAAAAAATAAAATCATTAGGTCCATAAAGCGAAATAGAGCTGAAAATATAAGTATTTGTAAAGGCATTACTGTAATTCTATTCTGTCCTGTCCTGTCCTGTCCTGTCCTGTCCTGTCCTGTCCTATCCTATCCTATCCTATCCTATCCTATCCTATCCTATCCTATCCTATCCTATCCTATCCTATCCTATCCTATCCTATCCCATCCCATCCCATCCCATCCCATCCCATCCCATCCCATCCCATCCCATCCCATCCCATCCAGAGGTGGGTTTCAGCGGGTTCTGACCAATTCTGGAGAACCGGTAGTGGAAATTTTGAGTAGTTCGGAGAACCGGTAGTAAAAATTCCGACAGGCACTGCCCCGACCTATTCTCTGCCTCCCAAGTCCCAGCTGATTGGGAGGAAATGGGGATTTTGCATTATCCTTCCCCTGGAGTGGGGTGGGAATGGAGATTTTACAGTATCCTTCCTCTGCCATGCCCACCAAGCCACACCCACCAAGCCATGCCATGCCATGCCATGCCATGCCATGCCAACCAAGCCACACCCACATAACCGGTAGTAAAATTTTTTGAAACCCACCACTGATCCCATCCCATCCCATCCCATCCCATCCCATCCCATCCCATCCCATCCCATCCCATCCCATTCATTCTTATATTATACTACACCACATTCTCTACCCCATTGCACTCCACTCCATTCCAGCTGGTGTAGTGCAGTTATTTGTGGGCTTTCATGAAATGCCTTTTCACCACGGGTTGATTGCTTCACTTTTTAAAAATCTATTGTTATTTATTTGATATAGTCATTGGTATTTTCATGTTTGATTCTTGTATATTACATCATCAGTATTTTTTTCTGGAGACCCATAGGAAGACATGTGAAACATGACAATGAGACTGGTAGGAGTATGAATTTAATAAATCTATCAATTATAACTCTGGTCCAACTAAGAGTGCCTTTTATTTATTTCATTCATGAGTTCAGGATGAGATTGAAGAAAATATCCGATGGGTGCAATATAAACAAAAAAAGGATGCAAGTTTGCATCATACAGACATCAAAGCGGTGAAAGATACAAATTCCAACTTCCCACAATCCATTAGACTACAATATATTGAACCAGCCAGAATCAAACTACTGACAGTTGGCAGAATTAGACTCCAGTACTGCATTCTAATCACTGTGCCACTACAGTTCTTTGATGCCTCACTTAATGATTTCACCACTAAATAATGAACGTTGAGGTACCAACTGTGGTTGTAAGTTCTAAATTACCTAAAATTTTAGATTAAGTTGACAAACGTCTCAGCTAGAGGGCAGGGAATGGGCCACAAAATCTGATTTCTTCAAAGCCAGGAAGAAAGTTTGCAGGTGTGGGGAAGGGAGGGTGTGGATGAGGGGAGAGAAACAATTGTTGTGCCTCTCATTCAAGGGTTGCAAAACTATCTACTCAAAATGACTTATGACCATTGAACCTCCGTTTCTACCCAGTTATTCAAGTGTTTCAAAGCTCTTATCTACTCAAACAGACTTATGACCATGAAACATGCTGTTCTACACGGTCATCATACTTGATTGATTCTCTTAAAAGGATACAATTATGCAAAATGGATACTAGCATGTATTGGACTTGTGAGGGAATTTATTTGAATTTCCTAGAATTATTTTTTGTGCCAGAGATTTCTTTGATCTTTGCTATTGAGAAGAAGACATATGGCCAGCTTTTTAATGTACCCCATGTTTCGTACGTGACAACTACAAGTGATGTGCATCGGGGAATTCCCCGTCTGATTGCTTCAGAAAAAAAAATCATAGAGTTTCCCTGTTTAAACAAATTCTCATTTCGATTTAACTGCACTTCTTTTTACACTTTCTTTTTTTTATTGGTTTTACCACAACAACACAACACAACACAACACAACATACAAAACACAAACACATATGTGTTTCTTTTTACACATCAGTTTTGTTCCTCTTACTTTCTACTATATACGTTCCCCATTTTTCCCATCCTTTATTAACATCATCTTTATCATCCCTTTATTTTTAATTTTCTTCATTTACACTATTTTGCACATTTGTCACCTTCTTGTACCCATTTACTTTCCCTAATCTCGAGCCAATCATACCATTTAGTCCATACTAGATAATATTCTGTATCTTCCTTTTCTTTTATTTCTTTCGTTAATTTATCCATCTCCGCACAGTCCAGGATTTTCTTAATTATTTCTTCCTCTATTGGAATCTTTTCACTTTTCCAGGACTGTGTGTAGACTATCCTTGCCGCTGTAATTATATGCAGAATCAAATATCTAATTTCTTTACTGATTTCTTTACTGTAAGTTCTGTTCAATATCCCCAGTAAAAACATTTCTGATTTCCAATCCACATTATAGCCAATTATCTCTTCTATCCAACTTCTAATTTTAATCCAATATTTTTTTGCATTGGGACATGTCCACCAGACGATAATAGATGATGATGATGAACAGATGATAATATGTTCCGGGGACTTTTTTACATTTCCAACAATTTGGAGAATTGTTCAAAGACAATTTAGCAAGTCGTACTGGTGTGAAGTGCCATCTGTAGAACATTTTTAACTGGTTTTCCTTGAATGCCATTGAAAGAGTCAATTTAATATTTATTTCCCATAATTTTTCACATTTCTCCAATTCTATATTGTAGCCAAAATTTTTGGTGCATCTAATCATGGTATCTTTAAGTACCTCTTCTTCCATTTTATACCTCAGTAGCTATTGGTATATATTACTAATTAATTTTATCTCCGTTCCACGAATAATTTTATATAAATCTTGTGACTCCTTTCGTATTTCATACATCTTTTTATCTCTTGCAAATTTAGATTGCACTTGTGCAAATGTCCACCGATCCATCACCCTACCAATTTCTTGTTCCAATTCTTGTTTCAAATCTCCTTGATCATTTACCAATTCCTTAAATCTAATTATCTTATTTTTCTCCAATAAATTTGGATATATCAATGCTCCTGTTGGCGATAACCACATTGGAAGGCTAACATAGTGTTTTTGTTTTATTTTTTTCCAAATCTGTAGCAATGCTTTCCTGATCAAATGTGTTTGAAAATATTTATGTGATTTATATTTCTTATGTTTTGTAATGTTCCATTTTTTATTTATCTTTTTATTTTGTGGATCTTTTTGTACTTCATATTCAATTTTTTAAAATTCTTCCTGCAAATTTTCTACTAGTACTCTCTTTTCTTAATTTTTTTTAGAATTATATGCGATGGTCAATCCCCTTATATAGGCTCTTGTGGTATCCCACAAGTTTTGTATCGAAGTATCTTCTTTTTTATTTATTTGAAAAAATGTTTTCAACTCCACTCTAACATCTGTCTATCTTTTTTCTTTACACAAATTTTGATTCATTATCCATCATTTATTTTGTTTTTGGGTTTTCCATTTTAATATAATTGGATTGTGATAGGCCCAATCATTTACTCCTATTTCAATTTCTTCTATTTCATTTTGAATTTCTGCTGTTGTCCAGGCCATATCCATCCTGGACCATGATTGATGTGGGTATGAATAAAATGTATATTGTTTATGTGTTCTATGTGTCTCTCTCCATTCATCTCGCAGATTGAACTCAGATGCTATATCAAAAAAGGCTCTTGGTAACACACTTCTTTTCTTTTTATTCTTTTTATTACTTTTATAGTCTCTTTCAACTTCCACCACCGAATTAAAGTCCCCAATCATACAAAGCCTTTCATAGTCCATGTCTACTAATTTCTTGTGTACATTTGTAAAGAATTCTTGTTGATTTTTATTGGGTACATGTATTACTGTAAGTAGCATTTGTTTCTGTTCTATCACTAATTCCACCATCAAAATTCTACCTTTGTCGTCTGCATATCTTAGATTTGATTTGATTTTTTCCTTTACATATATGGCAATACCCCCTTTCTTTTTATCTGCTAAAGTTGTGTATAATGTTCCTAATTTTCTATTTTCTAATAATTTTCTATATTCTTTTTGTATATGAACCTCTTGGAGGCATATCACTTCAACCCTTCCAAGCTATCCAAATCTTCAGAAGACGGGGCAACATAGAGCATCACTGTCTCTGTACATTGTTCTCTAGTTTAAATGTTGAAGTGAGGAAGTAACCCAACATGTACATATAAAGAATATCAGGCAAACATAAAGATTTATTAAAGCTTTCTCTTCATGAGCTGGTGTTTATCATTAAGCTCAGGTCTCATCACAATGATAAAACATTTGGGAGAAAAGATGCACACCAATAATCCAGCACTGGAGGAGACCATGGAGAAGATCTCCACAGCCAATGTATATTTTCCCCGTGTGCTTAGATAGGTTGGAATAAAACACAACCAAACACTGCAGAAGACCAACATGCTGAAGGTGATGAATTTGGCTTCATTGAAACTGTCAGGTAAATTCCTAGCTAGAAAAGCAGCAGAGAAGCTAAGCAGAGCAAGAAAACCCATAAAGCCCAAAACACAGTAGAACATGACTGAGTCTTCATGGCACTCCAGGATAAGTTCTTCAGGTATTGAATGTGCATCAAAATCTGGATATGGTGGGGATGTTATCAGCCACACAGCACAAACACATATTTGAATAAGGGAGCAGGATAGAAGAATGAAACTGACCATCCTTCCCCCAACCCATTTCCTCAATCTGGAACCGGGTTTGGTGGCCATGAATGCTAGAACCACAACAAAGGTTTTGGCTAAGACACAAGAAACCGCCACAGAAAAGATGAGGCCAAAAGCTGGTTGTCGAAAGAGACACACAATCGTATTGGGCTTCCCAACAAATAGAAAGACACAAAGGAAAGAGAGGAGAAGAGAAAGTAGGAGTGTATAAGTGAGATTCCGGTTGTTGGCTTTGACGATGGGAGTGTCTTTGTGTTTCATGAAGATTGTTATTACCAAAGCTGTCATTAAAGAAAAGCAAAGAGAAAGAACAGTCAGACTGATCCCCAAGGGTTCTTCATAGGACAAAAAGGTGATCCGCTTTGGAATGCACACATTTTTCCCGGGATTTGGATATTGATCTTCTGGACATGGAGAGCAGTCATCTATGTCTGAAAAAGAATGCAGATGAGTTGATATAGGAAATTATAGTGTTGGCTTAATCCCAGTATAACTGAAATTTTCCTACCCTTCTCGTTTGATATTTTCCCGTCTGGACATAGATGGCAATCATAGCAACAAAACAACTTTCCTTCTTTCTTGGCCTTGCTGTGTCCTGTCTCGCAAGGATCATTACATAAAGATAAAGGTAATGCCTATCAACGAATGTAGAAGAATATATTAAGATACAGAGAGGATTCTGAATTTTGATGTCAGCAAACTAAAGAGATTTATTGTGCTGGCTTGCAGCTTTTACTTAAAAACCGTGAAAACCATTGCCCATAATTAACAGGGATCCAGGAAAGTGTATTTCCTAATATTCAATAGCAATTACTAGAAAAGTTAAAAAAGTATCTTACTGATATCTTTCCTTTCCCAGGAAATTTGTACCTAGGTTAGTTAGGGATAACACTGTGACACTTTCATCAATAAAGATATTTAAATGAAGGCAAACAAATCTGGATTCAAAAATCTAACCTTGTTAGAGCCTACTGGCCATGTGATGGAATCTACAGAAATATTGAAGAACTTCCCTGCTAGAGCTGTGGGATCTATCACTCCAACTTTGACCCTAAGAAATGATTGGTTTGGGAATGTGATCCAGTTGATAATATCAAATCCACCAATGAATTCTCCATTTGTATCAAAGGAGATCTTTTCACCAACACTGTTGTTGAATCTGACACTTCTCAGAAAAGAATGAACCTGAAACACAAAAGCAATCAGAGAGGAACAAACCAAGGAAGGGAAAGGTAATTCATATATTCAAAACATACATATGAATGTTTCTTTAAAGTTGTAAGCCCTCAAACAAATAAATAACAATCATTCTAAAACAGAGATAGAGATATGAGATTTCTGAAATAAAATTAACATAGAATTGCAAAATAAACAACCATCAAAAAATAAAATTAAGTCCTAGTTTATTTGCAAAATATACTTAAGCCTGATCACTTCTAATAAATATATAATAAATACTCTGATGTATAAAACAACCATATAATTGAACTCATTTCATACACTAGCAAGGTTATATTCAAAATGGTACAAGTTAGGCTTCAGCAGTATGTGAACTGAGAAGTAAGAAGTACAAATATTTTTTTTGAAAAGGCAGAGGAACTGGAGATCAAATTTCCTTCATTTGCTTGATTATGAGACAGTAGGGTAGTTCCAGAAAACCATCTATTTTGCTTCATTGACCATGCTAAACCTTTTGATTATGTAGATCACAACAATCTGTGGCAAGTTCTTAAAGTGTTGGGAGTACCAGACGACCATAACTGTCACCTGAGAAGACTAATGTCAGCTCTTCCTGATTCAGCTTGGCACCTCACCTGATTCCTGCCATTAAAGGCCAGAAGTGGAGGGGGTGAAGGATTAAAGGGCAATAAAGCTGTGTTTATATGTGATGGGAAATCAGGAGAGTGGAAGGATAGGTGATAAAGACCAGACCAGCCAGATCCTGTTTTTACCAGCATCCCAAGGCCAAGCACCCAGAGAAATATGTGGATTATCCCCAAACATCTCAGCACTCTCAAAACATCTTGCTGAGCTGTGGTTGGCTGGAAATGGACTGGTTACAGGGGGGTAAGAATGGACTCCGGGTGAACCTTTTTTGTATCTTACAAATGCTGGAGAATTCTGAGCTGGCTTTACATTACTGCAACTAACACCTTTAGTAAAAGAACCCTTTGCTTTTATCAAATGGAGTCAAGGATCTTCCTTTCCTAAGGGATCAGTTTGGGGCAGACCTGACATCTGCACGACAGCCAAGAAGCAACAGTTAGAGCCAGACATGGAACAATTGATTACTTCAAAATAGGGTAATAAGTACAACAAGGCTATATATTGTCACCTTGCTTATTTAAATTATATGCAAAATACATCTTGTGAAATGCCAGGCTGATGAATCACAAGCCAGAATTAGGATTGGTGGAAGAAATATCAACAAGTACCAGTACGCTCCCATAGAGAGGGGATCCTCTGGGTGCCGACGGCCAAACAATGTCGCCTGGAGGCCCCTAGGGGGAGAGCCTTCTCTGTGGGGGCACCTACGATCTGGAACAAGCTCCCCCCGGAGATATGGAAGATCCTGGATCTGCGCAATTTCTGTCACGCGCTCAAGACTTTCTTATTTCATCAAGCTGGCCTGGCCTAAATCTTTTCCCCTTTTAAATGTAAATTTTAATTTGTTTTAAATTATTGGGTATTTTAAATTTGTCTCAGCCAAATTATTTATTTGTTTTTATTCTATTTTAAATTTTGTATTTATGTGTTTTATTCTGTGGCTGTTCACCGCCCTCAGTCCTTCGGGAGTAGGACAGTATATACATTCAATAAAATCAAAATCAAATCAAATCAAACAACCTCAGATATGCAACGATACCACTCTAATGGCAGAATGTGAAAAGGAGCTAAAGGGCCTCTTGATCAGGTAAAAGAGTAGATTGCAAAAGTTGGCTGGAAACACAATATAAAAAAAGCTAAGTTTATGGCATCACTTCATAACAAATAGAAGTGGAAGAAATGAAAACAGATTTTATTTTCATGGGCTCCAAGATCACTGCAGATCCCCCCTTTTTTAAAAAAGAAAAAATCCTTTTCAAATTTTCAAATTGCTTTTTTCAATTTTTCAATTATTTGTTCCCAATTTTAATCTTTTTTCAACTCTTAAATATCATTTTTAATTTTTAATTATTTCTTTTCAGCTTTTACATCTTTTTCCATTTCTTTTTTCAACTAAACGTTTGAAAACATATAGTTTACTTATTTTAATTCTGTAGAAATTCTTAAATTCTTAATGCTCTAACTGGAAACATGAATAAAAAAACCACAGAAAAAAGAAACAGACACTTAAGACAGGAAAGATAGTGATGAATTTTTCAAGAGAACAAATGGTCAAGAACTGTCATAAACTATTAGAAATGGGGAATATATTTAATTTTTTAAAGAAATGTTTAATTTTTTAGTAAACAAAGAAAAAAGTGATGGAATTGGACACTGACAGTATAATTACTTGCAATGTTTGCCATATGTTTCAGCTTATGCTCACATAGTTTAGATACTTTGACACAGGTTGGACTCATTGGACAACACCCTGAGGTTGTGAAAGATTGAAGGCAAAAGGAGAAGTGGATAACAAAGGATGAGATGGTTAGGTAGTGTCATCAGCACAATGAACATTAATACCGGCAAATTGTAGAAAATAGTGTAGGATAGGAGGGCCTGGAGTGCTATGGTTTATGGGGTTGCAAAGATTCAGAAATGACTTAGTGACATACCAACAACAATAACTGAGATAGCATAGCAACCCTTATGTACAGGTGTTGATTGTTTAATGACTGCTTGTTCAGCAACCATCTGAAATTATAAGAAATTGTAAGTGCAGACCAAGTGATACTTAGGATTTCCTTACTGTGCTTGTATGATCACAATCCAGGAAGTCAGGAATGGGCCTTTATTTCTGACTGTCATGGCATTCCACAGTTACTTGATTGTGATTTGTAATCTATCTTGCTAGCTTTCCACACGCAAAGTCAATGGGGAAGCTAGAAGGAAATTGGAAGTTGTGATCACATGAATTCCATGCTTTAAAAACTATGCAATCCTCACTTAACAATGGTAACTGGGGTCTGCCAAAATTATTGTTGCTAAACCGCATGGTCAAGTGATGTCACAACTTATACCTGCATCACTTAAGCAATGAAAACTCAGGTCCCAATGACTGTCATTAAGTAAAGGCTGCCAGTAAAATTTACAATATAATTGAAGATAGACTTACTTTTACAAAGTAAAATCAAAAATTAATGACCTACACCGAAAATATGACCTAGCATGATTTTTCATGCTGCTCACAATATAAGCCCTACCCCTACAAAATAAGCCCTAGTTCAGAGGATCAGCAGCGGTGGTGGGGTGGTGGAGGTAGCCAGCATAAGAGGTGGCAAGGATGCGCACGGGGCAGGTGCAGCCTGTGTGGGGCCAGAGACGAAGGAATGCAATATGTTCCACCACCTGTCTTTCCTTGCAGAGTGTGTGGCAAAGCTGGAGGATCCCATTTTTCAATGGGAACTGAGAAGGCAGGGGCTGGGCCATGGCACCACTCCACCTCACCATTTGCTGACTGTGAGAGGATGTAGGGCCGGCAAGCATTGGGAGGAAGGGGCTGGTTTGGCTTTCCATCCCGGGTACGTTAAAAAAATAAGAGACATCCAAAAATAAGCCCAAATTCTTATTTCGGGGCCTAAAAGAAAATAAGACCAGGGACTATTTTTCAGGGAAACATGGTATATTCTACCTAGGAAATAAAGTCTCAGTAGAAGAGGTTAGGCAATGGGAAATGAGGACCAAAGGGCAATGACATTTCTTTTATTGGATGCATTAAAGTAGAGCCAGAGTCAACATCAGCAGGGTCTGCTGGAATTTAAATCCTGCATTTAGCGGATGCTGAATTTGATGGCTGAGATGTCCATCATTTGAAATCGATGATTGTTTCATCCAATGGGAGTACACTGCGCTGAGGTGGCGCAGGTCAGAGGTGGCGCAGGCTGAGGTTAGAGTGCAGTACTGCAGGCTTTTTCAGCTACTTCAGCTGACTGTTAGCTGCAGTTCAGCAGTTCAAATCTCACCGGCTCAAGGTTGACTCAACTTTCCATCCTTCTGAAGTGGGTAAAATGAGGTCCCAAATTGTTGTGGGCATCCTTGTAAACCGCTTAGAGAGGGCTGTAAAAGCACTTTGAAGCGGTATATCAGTCTAAGTGCTATTGCTATTACTAAATATGTCACAAAATGTAGGCTCAAATTAACATCCCACATTTTAAGTGCCTGGGATATTAAAAACACTTTTACTCCTTTCCCTTCTTCTCATAGAGCCGTGTTCCTGGAAGCATATAAGGCTGCTCTCATTCCATCCATTTGCTCTAAAACTATGCATGTGTTGTTGTGAATATCTGGGTGTAGAAATGCAGATGACTCTCAAATGGTCTATGAAGAGGTCAGAACCAATGCCTCATAAAATGGGAACGTTACAGCAGGTTGAATCTTCTTTGAATAAGAATGACACAATATATCAGTCTTCCTCTTCCACCTATGGATTGTATGGGAAGATCCTAATCAGGAAATGCCAAAAAATATTGGCATGATTCAGTGGTGGGTTCCACTTACCTTCACTACCGGTTCACTTTCGTGAATGCGGATGCACAGAACGTTCATGATGAAATCCGGGCGGTGGGCAGAGTCTCCCACTGCCACCACTACCGGTTCATGCAAACCTGGGCGAACCGGTAGGAACCTACCACTGGCATGTTTGTACTTTCAAGAATCAATGAATTGTGTCTGCAAATGCAAACATTCCAAAAAACCATACATAACAACAACAACAACAATAACAACCAATACAGCTTCAACATTCAGTAATAACCTCCTTCCATTTATCCGTAGGCTGATTTTATAGAACAATAAGGAAGTGGCTTCCCAGGATGGAGGGGGAGTATTTCAGAGAAGTAAAAGACAATTCAGATTGGATATTGTGTCTGTGAGAAAGAGAAGTAACATACCCCACCCCCCAGTGGTGGGATTCAAGTAATTTAACAACCGGTTCTCTGCCCTAATGATTTCTTCCAGGAACCAGTTTGCCAAACTGCTCAGAAAGTTAACAACCAGTTCTCCCGAAGAGGTGCGAACTGGCTGAATCTCACCACTGCCACACCCCCTAATAATTCACAGAGAAAATTGCAGATACAGATAGTAGAGTGCTCAGATTGACAAGATGGAGGGGATGCATTTCAGAGAAGTAAAAGTTAATTCAGGTTGGATATTATGTCTGTGAGAAAGAGGAGGAAGATAATAATAATTATCAATAATTCACAGAGTAAATTGCAGATACAGATAGTAGAGTTTTGAGATTGACAAAATTTTATCTATAGATGTAAAACAAGAAGAAATCAGCTTAGAAGAATTACTATCTGTCATTCTTGATTTTGGGCTCTACAGGAGGTTAATTTCATGGAGAGAAACATATTCTAAGAAATTTTGTAGAATGCCATTTACAATTTTAATATCAGCCTATGAATATTTTGATTACTTAATCCATTATTACATCTCACTTTTGGGTTTTCAGACATCAATATCCCTGGAGAATATTGTTTGTTAGAGTTTTTGCACACATGTTGCAACTACAGATATGGTGGTTTCTCACTACCCTGGTAACACACTTACCTGCCACCACACTTGATTGTGAAAATGTTTCCTTCTTTCTTTCATCATTGTTGTTTCTCTAGATTTGGATAGAGAGAGAGATTGCAAAGCATGTGCCACAGCATAGACCGCATTGTAAATATTATAACTCTGGCCACTCATGCTTGTTTCAAACACAGATGTAGGAAGGGTTTCAAGCTTCTCCTGTCCAGTGCATTTCTTCTCAGACTCCTCCATTTTTGAGTTTGGGAAGAAACAACTGAATGCCTGTTCCCAGAAACCTTTCCGAAAATGATCATTCTGATTGTTGCTTGGATTTAGATTTTGAAGAAATTCCTGGAAGTTTTGGATTTCCATTGTGTGAACTGCAAAGGATAAAGCACCGTGCAGAAAATTTATATCACAAGATTTATGAAAGGAAGTTGAAGTATAATCTGTTTGAGCAGTTATAAGCCAAATCTTATCCTTCTTTGGTATATCATCCACTTCTGAAAACCGGAGGATACTTCTCAGAACTGTTAAGGACTGAATTTCACCATATAAAATTATCACATTGGCTGTGCTGTTCATGAGAACATGGTATATATGTAGCACTTCATCTATGGTTTCAGCCAAATCACTGTAAAAAGCTCCATTTGGGAATTCTGCTATGAATTCAATGCAGATGCCATGCTCAGAAAATGTGGGGAGTACCTCTTGGAGGAATTTCTCTCCTTTCTCATCCTTTACTACAAGAATTCCAATCCAGATCCATCTAAAATGCAGCAATAACTGCAGGAGGCCCTTACATTGGTGGGATTCATTTGGAAACATTTGTTGGAAGAAAACTGCTTGAGTCTCTTTATCTATGACTGGAGCAGAGCCATAGGTCAACTACAGAAAGATAAACATATGCAGTTGACAATTCTATTGCATGTGAGCCTCTGAAATCATATATATTCATTTCAGTTGGGTATCTTTCACCTTTTATACTGAAATTATGCAACTAGTTGCGTTTATTATAGAATATCAACCAAGATGTCACTCTTGAAGTATCAGAAAATATATTTTTTCTGAAAGTAGTCTCATTGTGAATATTTCAAATTTGAACCTTAGTTCAATGTCTAGAACTGGGGCACATTTTGCTGTGTCAAATATCCTCACCATCTGTTCAGAATGACAGTGATTCATGGTGCTATGATGATTCTATCAAGCAGATAATAATATCTAGGAATCTCTTTTTACAAAAAGAAGCATAACTACATTTGTGGACATATGGCAAAATGATAATATATATCCTCAACACATCTTACCTGAGGAACTTTGTAGATTCCCAATACAGTTGCCATGTGAAGAGACATGTCAGGTGCCCCAATGACTGCAGCCAAGGTATTTGTGATCCCACACTTGTAGTTAGGGATGAATTTGTCCTGAGTGAAAGGTAGAAGCATTGAGGCAAAGAAAGTCTGGCTTGGACTAAAATTGCTGTTAAAAATGTGGAAGCCCAGCGTGATGTTGGGTAGGATCTGGGGATTTTCATTTATCTCTTTTACAGTAAACACTAAAGCCAGGATATGCTGGTAATTCTGAAAAAATATTCTGTAAAAGAGAATTAGAAACAGCACATTAAGAAAGGTCTGTGTCTCATTATGGCACTTACAATCCTTTCGTACAACATATTTTGTGGAATGTGTGAAACAATTCTTGTTTCTAAATGTGAGAATGGTTCACTATCAAACTGCAGCGTTTTAAGAATGGTTTATATGCAAAAGGAAATTGCTACATTTTGGTACCTGAAATAAAGAATGATGAAACATTTCATGGGAAATATATGCTTTCTCTTCCTTAATGGTAGTAACAGCTTCATATTTGTATGGAATTAATTTGTATGGAATTAACCATACATACCTGTATATTAATAGATATTGAGATGTGATTTGTTATAAATGGAGATTTGATCTCCATTTCAACTATTTCAAATCAACTGAAGCATCCTATTTTAGATGTTTTTATCAGGAGTTTTTACCACCAGTGGAAAATATTTCAAGAATGATATGATTTACCAGCAAAGTTCACAGCTTGACAGTAAATTAATGATATACTTACAGAAATCCCTCATGAAATGCCTGTGAAGGATGTTGAGTTAACTTAATGGGGTCAGAAAATATCACAAATGCCGAAATAATGCCAGCAATGTTAATATCTCCAAGCTGATGATAGGTGTGCCGAATAGGAAGAGGCTCCCGAAAGTCACATTGAAGGATAGGACTCTTGCACATCATTTTAGGCAATACTATTAACAGTATCTCCATGAATAGTAACATCTTCGATGAGTGTCTTCTTTCTGTGTAGAAATGCCTCTGTCTTCTACAAGATCTTTGAAATAGACCAGAGAGATCTGCCTCCTGGAGGTGTTCTTCAGAGAAAATTAGAGAGTGCAACATACTATCAAATCAACTCACAGAGCTTCGGGGCTCCCAGCCATGGGTTGGAATAGGATGGGGACAATAATTACCATTATTCAGTGTCAGTTGCTCCCATTTTCATGGAGTCCCATAGTATTTGAAAGAAGCAAACTGGCTAATTTCATAATAATAGTGAGACAGTCACATATGTCTCATTCACAATTTCAAGACATGTGAGGACTTGCAGAGGCAGGAACGCATGAGCTACAAGACAAAAAATAAAATCATTAGATCCATAAAGCGAAATAGAGCTGTAAATATATGTATGTGTAAAGGCATTACTGTAATTCTATTCTATTCTATTCTGTTCTGTTCTGTTCTTTTTTTATGTATAAAAGTTTTTTATTTTAAAACAAACAACAAAAAACAAAACATAAAAACATTCATCATTCTATACAATCACAGACAGTATATCAATCGGTGACATTCTTTTGTGCTCCTCCCCCCTTATAATTATCACTAGATGTCCCAAGCTCATTTCCTTTAGAAATTATATCACTTAATTTATATCAACTTCCATTTATTACATAGTTATCTCCAAGATTTATTGCCTATCCATTGATAAAATAAGTCCCGTATCAAATAATATTGTTTATCTTCCTGTTCTCCAATTTCAAAGGTCAGTTTACTCATTTCGGCACATTAAATCATTTTGTTAATAATTTCTTCATCGATAGCTATTTATTTATATTTATTTATTTATTTATTTATTTATTTATTTATTTATTTATTTATTTTATTATATTTTTATACCGCCCTTCCCCCAAAGGACTCAGGGTGGTGTACAGCCATAATAAAACAATATACAAGACAAATTTAAAAACCATATTAAAATAATTCAATTTTGGCCAAATTTAAAATTCCCGTTCTAAAACCCTTATAAAACCATATTAAAAACCCATATTTAAAACCCGATTAAAATTATTGTCCCATCAGACTGGCTTGTTGGAATATCAGGGTCTTCAGCACATGATGGATGGCACGGAAGTTGGGGATCCTTCGTATATCCAGGGGCAATTCATTCAATAGGGCATGAGCCCCCACAGAGAAGGCTCTCCCCCTGGGAGTCGCCAGTCGACATTGTTTGTCCAACGGCACCCTGAGGAGGCCCTCTCTGTGGGAGCGTATCTGTCAGTGGAAGCCAGTCAGTGGCAGCAGGCGGTCCTGTAAATATCCAGGCCCTAAGCCATAGAGCGTTTTAAAGGTGGTAACCAACACCTTGAAACGCACCCGGAAGACCACCGAGAGCCAGTGCAGCTTGTGCAAGAGAGGTGTTACATGGGAGCGATGGGTCGCCCCCATTATCACTCACATGTCTGCATTCTGGACCAGTTGGAGCCTCCGGGTGCTTCTCAAGGGGAGCCCCATGTAGAGAGCATTCCAATAGTCCAGACGGGAAGTGACGAGGGCGTGGGTGACTGTGCGCAAGGTGTCCCGATCCAGAAAGGGATGCAACTGGGAGATCAGGCGAACCTGATAAAAGGACCCCCTGGCTACGGCTGTCATATGATCATCCAGGAGGACACCCAAATTGCGAGCCCACTCTGAGGGGGGTAAAATCTCATCCCCAATAGCCAGTGATGGGTCTAGCTGGCTATATCAGGACGTCGGAAACCACAGCCACTCAGTCTTGGAGGGGTTGAGTTTGAGCCTGTTTCTCCCCATCCAGATCCGCATGGCCTGAATGTCAGGGGCTTTTATTAATCCCATGTTTGGGTCTGGGACTAATTACCCTGGTTTGGAGGAGATGGGTCGTGGCTTATCCTTGTTTCAATAATCTGAAAAGAAACGCGAGGGAAGGTTTCTAATAAAACTCATTTATTTGTTATAAAGAAAATAAAACACCTCACTAACTAAGAAAAGTTAATTGTTACATTTTTGAAGGTAATTCGGGCCGGCTATCTTTCAGCCGGACCTTGCTGGAAAGAGAACAAAGGAAGAGTGTGTGAAGAGCAAGTGAAGGAATGTGGGTGGATGCGGAAACACGTAGCTTACTGATAAGAAGTTGGCAAAGCTACGGAGAGTCTGACAGTCCAGAAATAATGAGCTCAGCTGGTAAATAAAATAACGCAGTGACATTCCCCTTCTTTTGCCAGTTGAGCGAATATCAGTACATCATCAAATAAGGCACATCTTCTCACGCAGATACTCGTGTTGAGCTGCTGGAAGTGGTTTGTTGAGCATATCAGCAATTTGATCATGTGTAGATACATATTGCATTTTGACAAAACCTTTTTTCACTAAATGTTTTATGTTTTGGTAACGGATGTCAATGTGTCTGGACCTAGAACCTGTGAAATGTGATTCAGAAATATAAACCACCGATTCATTGTCTTCCATCACTGTGATCGGTCGGATCGGGTGTGTCCAGATATCTGTGACTAAAGCATCAAACCAAGTTAGGGAATTACATGCATCTGAAACACAAGCATATTCAGCTTCAGTAGATGAACAAGAAACAAAATTCTGTTTACGTACTTGCCAATAAACAGGACATCCATTTAAGAACATCATATAACCTGAAGTACTTTTACGTGATTTCTTATCACTTGCCCAATCAGAATCTGCATAACAACATAATTCTGCATAATCAGTATGTGTTGGTTCTAACAATAACTTCATGTGTTTGGTGTATTTTAGGTATCTCAATAATTTCTTAATGCATGTCCAATGAAACTGTTTTGCCTTACCCACGTGTCGAGATAAGAGGTTAACACTAAGTGCAATGTCGGGTCTGGTCCAACTACTAATGTATAACAGTGACCCAATGACTGAACGATAAAGTGTTTGATCCTCGAACTCAGGACTTTCTTCTTGTGTCAAGTTGTGAAAATCTGTTTGCATGGGTGTCTTTGTTGTGTTAGCATCTTTCATGTTGCAATGATGCAAAACTTGTTCAATTTTATCCTCTTGTGAAAGACTAAACCCCTTCTGTGTCTTTTCAATCTGAACACCTAAATAAGTGCTAATGTGACCTAATGATTTCAATGTGAAGTATCTCTGCAAAGCTTTGGCAAAAATTTCACTCATTTGCTTATTTGGACCAATATAAACAATATCATCAACATAAACAAGAACTATCTCATATGCATTGTTAGATCTTTTTGTGAACACGCACTCATCAGTTTCGGACTTAATAAAGCCCATTGAATTTAGTTTGTCAGTAAGACATAAGTACCACATTAAACCAGATTGTTTCAGACCATAAAGACTTTTGTTTAGGAACCAGGTATCCCCTTCTTGCTGTCGGAATCCTGGGGGACTTCTCACGTAGATCTCTTTGTCTAGGTCTGCATGTAGATAAGCCGTGTCAACATCAAATTGGAAAACTTCTAAACCAAGGATAGTTGCAGTTGCTAAAGCAATTTTTACACTCTCAGTTCTGACTGTCGGTGAGTAGGTATTTGTGTAGTCCTCAGGATAACGTTGAGCGAAACCCTGAGCTACAAGTCTGGCTTTGTATAATGACTCACCATTTGGCTTCTTTTTGATTCTGTAAACCCATCGAGTGCCAATGACCTTTTTGTTTGCTGGAGGTTTTGCAGGTGTAAATACCTTAAGTTTCTTTAGACTGTCCATTTCAACCTGCATTGCATCATACCATTTGTCTTGCTCTGAATCAGGGAGCTGCTTGATTTGCGTGAAATTATCAGGTGGAAGTGTGACATTGCAAATCAAAGGCAAGGGTGCTTTTGTCAGTTGCCAAGAATATCGTTGTGGAGGAATCCCTTTTGTGACCCTCTTGGAACGTCTCGGAACAACTGTCCAATCTTCTTCTGCTTCGTCCTCGTCCTCACTTTCGTCGCTAGCGTCAGCATCCGCGGCTTGCGAAGACGGAACATCGGGTTGAGAAGAATCAGTGGAATCTTGATCATCAATCTGCGTGGCATCAGCAGTATCATCTCTAGGAAAATAGACTCCAGATCATTGGAATGAATCCTGGACCAGTCAATGTCTTCCTCAAAATTAGCAGATTGGGAAATCACAATTACATGTTTAGAGTCAATAAATTTGCTCCATTTTGAATTATCATCAATACCCATAAATCTCAGTCTTTTTGCTGCTGGACTTCCTTTTCTTCTTTGAGCTAAGGGAATGTTCACCATAGCATATGAACCAAAAATATGGATGTTTTTAAGATCAGGCTTGTAGCCATACAACATGAAGAAAGGAGTCTGATTTGTTACACTGCTCCAAGTACGGTTGACAATGTAATTTGCATACTTGATAGCTTCACCCCAGTATATCATATCAAGATTGGCGTCTTCTAGGAGACAACGCATCATGGTTTGCAGTACCCCTTGTCTTCGTTCTACGACTCCATTATGAGCCGGTGTGTAAGGGGTCGAAGTCTGATGAATAATTCCATTCTTACGCATCCAATACTGGAAACGCTGAGACATGAACTCGGCACCACGATCACTCTGGATTCTGGCGATGCGAACTTGGTGTTGGGTAGAAACAAGGGTTGCAAAGTCTTTAAAGATCTGAAAGGTCTCTGATTTTTCTTTCATAGGATATACATATCCATATCTAGAGTAATTATCAACAATTGTTAGAAAATATTTTCTACCGCCAAATGATGGCGGGAATGGACCAACTATGTCAATGTGAACCAAATCAAAAATGCGTGTTGACAGGCGTGTAGCGCGTTTGGGAATGGCTGCTGCTTTGGATTTGGCCTTCTTGCATACAGCACAATCCAAAAACACCTTACACCCCTTTAGATCCAAACCTTTTGCGAACTCCGGCATCTTCCTAAGAACACGGAAACTGGCATGCCCCAATCTTCTATGCCATTTGTGGATACACCTGGAATGCAAAGGTTTACCTGTTAGTGAATTCTCAACATTAACATT